ATCATGGCCGACTGCGCGGCCCTGGTGAAAGGCAAAGGCGAGCGCTCCTCGTGGGATGGCAGATCGGTGATGGGCGAGCACTGGCGGCACACCAGGTCGATTCCAGTGCAGCACTCGGTCTGTAAGGTCAAAACCCACAAGTCGGAGGAGTCAGCGGAAAGTGAGTCCGAGCGAGTGTTAATTAGCGGCAATAAATGGGCTGACTGGTTTGCACAGCAAGGGGCCTCCAGAAATGCGCTTGACCTCGCCGATTTTGAAAGGGCCGAGGCGGCCCGCGGCGCGTTGAAAGCCATTGTCTGGGCAACGGCCCGTATGCTGGCCTCGTGGCCTCAGGCCCGTGAGCTGTTCGGGGACCTGGACCGTCTCCCCAAAGCTCCCCGACCCGCTGTGCCTGTTCGGCGTCACTGTCTCACTTGGGACGGTACTTTTTGGAGGTGCGTGCGATGTGCCAAGAGATTTAGAAGGCCCGAGCGGGCCGTCGGGCCGTGTGGGGCTTTCCCCCCCTCCATGGAGGCCTTGCTCAGGTCTCCTCAGGCCCATGCTCACAATTGGTTCGGTGCGCGCACCCTCAAGCACGACTCGCCCGTTCTGTTTTGTAACATGTGCGGAAGTTATATGCAGGGCAACAGAGCCCCACCTGCCTTGCAGGCCACCTGCCAACACCCCAAGCCTCGGCAGCTCGCCATGCTCCGTCGTCGGAAGCTGCCCTGGCCTCGTGGGGTGGAATTTTGCACCCCTTGGTCCCTTGCTGGGGCTGCGGATTGGTGGCGGCCTTAGCTTCCCGCACTTATTATTATATTACTATCCCGCCCTCGACCGCTCGCTCATCGAACGGGTTAGGTTTCGATCGCTGCTGCTGCAAATGGGAGGGGGAGGCTTGATCTCCTCCTCCGAGTTGGACGAGCAGAAGTTTGTATTCCTGCCCCGCACAGACTCTCTTCTGCATGCTGGGTGGCAGAAGCACACTCGGCACCTTCCGTTCTCCTGCGTCCGCCCGCCCCTCTGACCGCATCTGGCAGCACGGCCGCCTCGTCCGCTCAATCCCGCCATCTCTGCTCGCTCTTGGACTTCGATCAGTCCTTCTTCGCAGAGGGCCGGGCAAAACCTCTCGCAGCCCTCGACAATTACCCCCGAGCCCGCTTTCGCGGGTCAGCGCGAACCAAAGGTGGAGGTGGAGGGTCTGTGCAGGCTCGCGCCGCGCCGACGAGGCGTGCTCGTTTGGCGCGAGCGCTCGAGGCCTTCGTGCCGCTGGTGGTCTGGACCGGGCCAGCGCCGAGCGGCCTCCGCCGCGGTCGGATGGCGGGGATCGCCCGAGATCGACTGAGGTGCCCCGACTAGGGGGCCACTTGCGAACCCTGCCCCTACCCCCCACGACCTCTAAGGGGGAGGGTGGGGTTTCACGTCGCTCGGGAGCTCCCGAGCGAGGTGAGCCCCCACCCTCCCCTTCAGCGCTCCGGGCGCGCGGCCCCCCCCCGGGGGGGCGCGCATCGACGACGCCGACGCCGACGCGACGACGACGCCGACGACGACGCCGACGCCGACGAGCCCGCCGCCGACGCCGACGACGCCGACGCCGACGCCGACGACGACGACGCCGACGCCGACGCCGACGCCGACGAAGACGACGCCGACGCCGACGACGACGACGCCGACGCCGAGGCAGGGCGGGTTCGCGATCGGGGGCCGATCGCCGATCTATCGGCGACGCGTCGCCGACTCCAGGTCGATGCTTCCCCCTCTGAGCCGGTCCCCCCCCCGTATCGTTGCCCTTCGTTTGCATCTTCGGGGGACCCTGTCTGTCCCGCATGTTGCCATCTTTTTCCAGCGCCCGACGCGTGCTCTGCGCGTATTCGGCGCGCGTTCGGCACGGGCCCGACGAGCATTCGACACGGATTCAACTCGCCCAGCAGCGCGACGGGACAGAAAAGGTCACCCGAAGATGCGTCGCAACGGTCGGCTGCTCGAGACCAGCAAGGGAAGCGTGAGGGAACATCGGGGCTCGCGTAACGGGGGTCAGAGGAGGAGGAGGAGGAGGAGGAGGAGGAGGAGGAGGAGGAGGAGGAGGAGGAGGAAGGAGGAGGAGGAGGAGGAGGAGGAGGAGGAGGAGGAGGAGGAGGAGGAGGAGGAGGAGGAGGAGGAGGAGGAGGAGGAGGAGGAGGAGGGAGGAGGAGGAGGAGGAGGAGGAGGAGGAGGAGGAGGAGGAGGAGGAGGAGGAGGAGGAGGAGGAGGAGGAGGAGGAGGAGGAGGAGGACTCCCCTGTGGCTGACCTGGGTCTGGGAGCCGCGTGGGGCCGCTTCCCTCTTTCCGCCCCCCGCTGGCCCGAGTCTGGGAGCTGCGGAGCGGCTGGCCAGGCTTCGCGACAGGGTTCTCGTCGACCTGACCTGGGTGAGTGCGGCCTCGAGAGCGCAGTTGGGACCCCTTGCCGAGAGACGCCCTGCGTGCCTCCAGGGTGCCCTGGGTTTCCTGGGTCTCGCTGGCTTTTCGCCACGGACAGCGTGACGCTCCCACACCAACAAACATCGAGGGACGACCTGGGGCCTCGGGGCCGGGCTCCTCGTGGAGGGCTTCCTGTGGTTGGGCCCCATGCTGCAGCAGCTGGCGGGAGGGCGGCGGGGCTCGGCGCGGGCGGGGCTCGGCCAGAGCGCCGGAGATCTTGCCGGGTCCCGCGAGTGGGATGTTTAGGGGGCCACATGCGAACCCTGCCCTTACCCCCCACGACTTCTGAGGGGTAGGGTGGGGTTCACTTCGCTCGGAAGTCGTGGGGGGTAGGGGTAGGGTTCGCATGTGGCCCCGTAAAGATCTCCGGAGATCTTGCCGGGTCCCGCGAGTGGGATGTTGGCCAAGCCGGGAGGGGGAGCCGCTCGCGGCCACCCGGAGGGTGGCCTTTGGCACACGGGCCGCGCAGGGGCTCCTCGGCGAGGCCCCGCCCAGGGCTCGTTTCGGTGCCTCCGCTTCGGTTCGGTGCGATTTCGATGGCTTCCGATTCCGGTTCGATGCGATTTCGGATTCCGATGTGGGCTCCGACTTCCCGATGGAGGCCTACCAGCCTGCCGATTCCCGCCGATGCGGCTTCTCCGAGTCGGCCGCCGATTTCTGATTATCCGATTCATTTTGATCGCCGATCCGATTTACCGATTCGATTCTGGGGTCTCCTTACCGCCTAGAGTGCATCGCTGCTGCTGGTAAACTGGCCGAGCCGGGCTTGCGCCGAACCAGGTTAGTCCACGCCCGAGAACACAACGGCGTCACGGATCGGCTATGCGCAGAGGGGGGTTAGGGGGAGGGGGGAAGGCTTCGTAGAGGTCGCCCTGCTTTTTAGAAGCCGCGGGTCTTACCTGTAGATGTAGGGCCGGCGCCTTCTGAGAAGCGGCCACCTTCTAAGAAGCCTTTAACCTTCTCCCTCTACCCCCCTTCTGCGCGCCGCAAAGTGAGCGGCGCAATAATTATCCTGGCGAAGGACCCAACCATATGCAGTTGTGTGAATATCTTCTTCGGTGGAGCTCCCGATGGGGCCACGAAGCGCTGCACTGGGTGGGGGGGAACGCACGCGGGCGGTAGCACTGGGGCCTTCGGTGGAGCTCCCTATGGGCCACGAAGCGCTGTACTGGGTGGAGGGGACGCATGCGGGCGGTAGCACTGGGGCCTTCGGTGGAGCTCCCTATGGGGCCACGAAGCGCTGTACTGGGTGGGGGGGGCGCATGCGGGCGGTAGCGCTGGGGCCGTCGGTGGAGTTCCGTATGGGGCCACGCGCTGTATTGGGTGACGGGGAAGCATGCGGGCAGTGGCGCTGGGACCTTCGGTGGAGCTCCCTATGGGGCCAAGAAGCGCTGTACTGGGTGACGGGGACGCATGCGGGCGGTAGCACAGGGGCCGTCGGTGGAGCTCCCTATGGGGCCACGAAGCGCTGTACTGGGTGGTGGGGACGCATGCGGGCGCCAGCACTGAGGCCGTCGGTGGAGCCCCCTGTGGGGCCACGAAGCGCTGTACTGGGTGGGGGGGACGCATGCGGGCGGTAACAGAAGGACCTTCGGTGGAGCTCCCTATGGGACCAAGAAGCGCTGTACTGGGTGGGGGGAACGCATGCGGGCAGTGGCGCTGGGACCTTCGGTGGAGCTCCCTACGGGGCCACGAAGCGCTGTACTGGGTGACGGCGGCGCATGCGGGCGGTAGCGCTGGGGCCGTCGGTGGAGTTCCGTATGGGGCCACGGAACGCTGTACTGGGTGACGGGGAAGCATGCGGGCAGTGGCGCTGGGGCCGTCGGTGGAGCTCCCTATGGGGCCAAGAAGCGCTGTACTGGGTGACGGGGACGCATGCGGGCGGTAACACTGGGGCCTTCGGTGGAATTTCCTGTGTGGCCACGCAGCGCTTTACTGGGTGGGGGGGGGCGCATGCTGGCGGTAGTACTGGGGCCTTCGGTGGAGCTCCCTATGGGGCCACGAAGCGCTGTACTGGGTGGGGGGGACCCATGCGGGCGGTGGCACTGGGGCCTTCGGTGGAGCTCCCTCTGGGGCCACGAAACGCTGTAATGGGTGGGTGAAATGCAGGGAGGAAGGAGGGGGAGGGAGGAGGGGGAGGAGTTGGAAGGAGAGGAGGAACGCGGGGCGCCGTCTCCTCAAGACGAGGACCCAACACCACAGGATCTTTGGGAAAAACGGGGTCGTTTGCGCCGACATCGGCTCGTAGGCTGCCCGCGTAAGGTCGCGCGTGAGCGCCCTCGTTTCCACTGTGGCGTGTCGCGCTGGCGGCCCGCATAAGCCGCCGCGTAGGGTCGCTGTGTCATCTCGCGTGAGACCCGTTTTTGATCGTCGCTCGAGTGGGACAAACGTGCAGTGCCTGCACACGCACACACACACCACGTTTTTATGCTGCCAGATCCGAGGTCTGGGGTATTCCGTGAGCACCTCCTCTGCCGCCGGCGCCCGTTGCCGCCTGCTCACGAGGAGGGGGAAGAAGTTCCGGGTGGCAGGGAGCGGTGTCGTCAAGTATGGGATCAGGGGAGGGCACCTGGGTCGCCTTCGAGTTCATGATCTTGGCGCGGAAGGCCGCCTTCTGCTGGTGGCCTCTCTTCGGCCGCTCTCGGCTCGCTGGACACCATGGCTTTAGCGCTGGAGCCGGCGACGCCGGACTTCACGGGAATTTGAGCTCTCGACGCTTCGCGTATCCTCAGAGCCCCCTCGTCTGCCGTTGCCCCCTCGCAGTGCGTGAGTCGGAAACGAGGTGCACACACTGGCTACCGGCTGGTGTCGTGGATCGGGTGCGGCCGTCAGCCACACTTTCGGTGACACCCGTTTTGGCTTCGTCTTGGGAGTGGCCCTGTATTGAGTGGTTCATCCTTCTGCAGTCCGTGGTTTTTCTCCCCAAGCAGTCTGCGACCCCGTCAGTACGTTGCATCGTTCGCCCCCGAACTGCGTGAGTCGGATACGATGTACACGCACTGGCTTTGGTTGGATTTGACTCTGCCTCGTGCAAGCACACCTGTGGTCTTCCCCACCGGGTGGCGCTTCGACTCGGATCTGCCACAGTCAGGCTTCAGTGAGCCTTGGGAGGCAGGTCTCTCTCGCCGCGTTCGGTACTATTGGTGCTGCAGTGTGCCTGTGCTGTCGCTCGCAGTGCTCCCTGCCCCTCCCTCCTCTTGGTTTGCGGTTCGGCTGGAGCTTGGCGCCGTGAGGGCGACTTCTCCCTCCCGTTCCGCCGCCGGTGCCGCGCCTGCGTCCCCATCCGCTGGGATGACTGCGCTGGTCACCTTTAATGAGGGTCATTTTGTCCCTTGCATGTGCACTCGCTTCGGCGGCCTACGCGCCACTGCGGCCAATTATCTCGCTCTGTGCCCCAGGCGTGAATCCCGCTTCTTGACCTTTGGCCTGGAGCCGCGAACCAAAAAATATCCTCAGAGCCTCAACGTAGCCTGGCTCAAGCCGTCTGCGGGCCTGGCTCCCTCGGGCCAGTCTCCCGCACTCAAGGGGGCGCCCTGACGCTGCGCCGCGGGCCCGCGGCCCTGGGCCCCCTCGGACCCCCAGCGCGCGCCCGCCATACCAGCAGCGGCGCAGTCAGGCAGCGCGGGCCTCAGCCGTAGCCTCAGCCCCCCCCAGGACGCGGGGCCATGGAAAGCGGGGAAATCCAAGGCGAGGATCATTCAGTGCAGGGCGCGGGAGCCCAGTCACTGGCCTCGATAGGCCCCCCCCCCAGATCCAGGCGTTGGACAGACCCCCCACAGACGGCACCCCCCCCTGGCAGCCCAGACAGGTCCAGGGCCGACGCCAGCGGCGTCCACGACGGCCCTAAGCCCCATGGAGGACGGCAGCTAACTGGATGGGGACGGAGCCCGTCCAGACGCCACCCTGGACCCCGCCCTGATCCCAATGCCGTTCACACCTCCCTCCCCTCCCCGCAGGGGGACAGGCCGTGAGCGCGAAGCTCCAGCAGCGGGTTCCGCCCAGCCCCTAGAGGCCGAGAGCGAAGCTCCCGTAGGGATCCAAGAGGCGACCGTGGAGGAGGAATCTGGAGAGAGTCGGCATGAGGTGGACGGTGCTGGCCACCCATCAAGGGGGCAGTCAGCCAGACCCCCCCCTACTGCGACGGGGGCCCCCTCTCAGAGACCGCTAGGCGACGACGGAGGAGCGGACTCTGAGCAGACAGCGCTGTTCCTGAGGACCGACCAACCCTTCTCCTCCTCCAACACACCAGTGACAGCGGCTTTTGGCTGCGCCCCCCGGCTTCCTCCTCTTGATCAGGACCTGTGTTCAGCGGCTTTTTGGCTGCGCCACCATCCCTCCCCCCCTCTTAACCAAGGTTCATCAGTGACAGCGGCTTTTGGCTGCGCCCCCCACCATAGTGATATGCCGAGGGATGGCGATGGCGACCGCAGATCGCCGGATAACCCCCCTCAGGACCGGGCCCCGCCCGCGCCCATGGCTGGCGCGCAGGATGCCAACGATGACAGAGAGGGCGCCCTACCCAGGGGCCCGCTGGACTTGATCAGCGCTAGCGGGGAGGATCTCCCGCCCGACCCACCCAGCTCGCCCCCGCAGGCCCCCTCCGCCGCCTTCCCGACTCCCCCTTCCCTCGCGGGCCTGGGCGAAGCCAGTGAGATCTCCCCCGCGCCCCCCTTCCACCCGATCGGGATCGATGCTGATAGCGGACCGCAGCCCTGGGATGAGGTCGACTGGGAATGGCTCCTGCAGGATCGTGTGCCCAGCCGAAGCACCCCCGACAGCGAAGCGCACCGCGATTGGGGGGATTTCGACGAGACCGACGGCGGATCAGCCGCTCACGCCCGCGGTCGTCGGCTCTCCCCACCCCCAGGCCTCCCCCTGCCCTCGCCGCCAGGCTCAAGGCTGCTCAATTTGGAAGGGCAGGCGGCTGACCTTGGTCATGGCGTAGACCCAGCTCTCCGAAGGCCCCCTCCCCAGCCCAGGAGATGCGGCACCCTCGACGCCGACGCCCCCTTCCTGGCTCCGAGGGTCGTCGACCCAAGGGGCACCATGAGAGGAGGCGCAATAGCTGCGCTCATGGAACACGAGCCAGTGCAGGGCCCGCGGAGGGAGCTCTCCAGGCGCCCGCCCCGCGCCCAAGCTATGAGCACTGGCCTTGAACATGTGGTAAGCTTCTGCTGGCTCCGCCCCCCCCCCTGGCGCGCTGCCATCAGCGGGGCCCCCCCCTCAGCTGGGGGCGCCCCTTGCCCCCTCAGGGCATGCCCCAGCCATGGGGTTCGCATGGGGCAACGTCGGTGCACTTGCCCTTCGGCAGTGGCGCAGCTTGACCTCTCCTGGTTGGTTTGGTCAATCACTCGGTCTGACCATGAGGCAAGACTTGGGGGAGTAGGCCCAGACCCGGTGCAGGTATTGGCTTTTCGGTACGCAAGCCTGACACAGGACCCTGCCATCGAAACGGAGAGCCTAGACTGCGACGAACCAACCCAGGCCGAGATCATTGCGACGGAAAGGGAGTGCGATGTCCTGCATTTTGCCGCCCTCTACACAGACATCGGGGTAGGGGGCCCGTCGGGGGGCCTCTTTCCGCCGTCCCTGCGAGGGCTCTCGAGGTGGCGCCATGACGCAGCCCCCGACGCAACCGACGCGATGTTGGCTGGCTACGACTCTGAACGCAGAGCCAAGCTGTGCCGCTACCTTATCCGCGAGCATCGACGCAACCTGATGCACCTCCCAGACCGCAGCGAGGTCAGGAACTGGGCAGTCAGTAGAGGCCATTGGGCTGATGCAGGGGCGGACGTCCTTTCTACGGCGCAGCGTGGAACGGGGCAGGGCGGTTGGGCAACTCTGGCCATCCCAGGCGCGGGGCCCCACTCCCCAGGCATCAGGGCCCATCCTCGAGGGTAGGGGCGCACCCGAGGGGCCCTGGCCCATAATCAGTACATCGCACATGAGAAGGTTCGGGGACTTCTTCCGCCCTGCCGACAGATGTGACTACTGCGGCTGCCGGCTGGCGCGTGACCCCCGCGGTCCCATGTGTATCGTCTGCCGCAGGCTAGTTCCCCCCTGGGTGCAGGCCGCGAGCGGACTCTACCCCGGCAGCCTCGAAGCCCCAGGACATCCCCTCGACCTGCTGGGCACCCCACTCACCTTCCAACTGGCCAGAGTGGGGGCGAGATACGCCCCTATCGCCAGCCATGTCGGCCCCCCAGACCTCCCACCAGAGACCGCCAGCTACTCCCCGTCATGGCTGATCTCGGAGCTACTCGCAGCATGGCGCCACATGGGCGACATTGCGCTCGCCAGCGGCGGGGCCGCAAACGAATCCTGGTGCCCGACTGCCGAAAGGGGCGACGCAAGTCTGGGAGGCGAGCCGATGCTCAGAGCCGCGGTTGGCGCCCTCTCCAGACTCTGCAGCGCCCCGCACGGATGGGCCCTGGAGACTGTCACTCAAATCAGGGACTGCATCAGGGGAACCCCCTTCCAGCGAGTTGCTACGCGACTGGATGCCTAGAGGCCTTGCACAAACCTCCATCGTGGCGCCGCCAGCCCAGCTCCCAGACCCGGCGGGCGCAAGGCCCAGGGCGCAGGACTTGAGGGCAAGCTACCAGCAGTGCCTTGACTACCTCCCCACAGAGGATTCAGAATGGCTCCGTGGAGAAATTGGAGGCAACTTTCTGGATCGAGCCCTCCGCGCCACCACCGCGGACAGGGTCTCCATCGAGGCGCATGGCGCGAGTGCCGAGGCCGCCGAGGTGGCCCGCGCAGCCTTAATCGCCTCCGCCAGAAGTGAAGGAAGGATCATCGCCGACCACCTTGCGCCAGGCAGCCCCTGTGGGGAAGCAGCGCGTCTCGCAATCGCACTGCGCACAAGGGCGCGAGGGGTAGGATCCCCTGTAGCAGGCGTAGTCAACCAGCAAACCATGAGGAGAGATGGAGACGAGAACCGAGCAGGCGATGGGCACCAGCCGAGGAGAGCCACCCATCTCCCCCCAGAAAGGGAGGGCAGCGCACGCCGCCTGCTACATGACATCTCGGAGATCCGCGCGCAGATAGCAAGCGACAGCATACCGAGTAACAGGCTCCTGTTCCCGTTCATCTGGGAGTCAGCCACAGAGGAGGGCCGAGTCACACTTGAACACGTCTTCGAGGCTACCGGGATCCCGAGCTCCTTAGTGGCGCATGCAGCCAGACAGTGGCACTCCATGGGCGGAGCACGCCAGCGCCTCGGACAGGAAGCGACAACTCTACCTCGCCTGACAGGAAGAGTGATCGAGGCCCCCCGTCCAGGGGGATACATCCACCCAGAGCTCCAGGAACGCATGAGTTGGCTGGGCCCTTTCGGACATCTCCAAGAGGCAACCCTAACAGCAGATAGGAACGCAGTGGAGCGGGGGATGCAGGCCCGAAGCGCCAGAACGCACGCCAGAGTTGGCAATGCGGGTGCAGGGGGGAACTGGTGGTCGCCACCCTCCCTCTCCCACGGCCGGAGGGGCGCGGGGCACCGCCGCCCCCTGGCGCGAAGACAGCAGACAAATATTCGGTGACGAAACGGATACCAGCGGCAGCTCCCCCTCTCAGGCCCATGGCAGAGGAGACGCGCTGGACGCCC